CCCCCCCCCCGCTCCGAGGATGCAGGCCAATTCCGTTTCTTGCTGGGACTTCTCCTAAAGACAGGGCTTCTTGCGGTCCTCCAATCAACGCTGAGAGATTCTTCTCCCGTCCTCCACTCCCATCCCCGTCACCCCCGCCCAGCACTACAGTACCAGCCAGGAGCCTAAAAGGCATGTAGCCCTGGGTTGCGGGGAGGGTGCGATATGCCAGGGTTTTCTGTGTACAGCATTACCCATGTCAGGTCTTTTCCTCTGCATTTGGACTCTTCTCCAGAAATGCAGGGTACTGGGCAAGGGTAGCGCCTTGCCACTAGTTCAGCCTGCTCTTTTCCTCTCCGTAACAGTCTCCTGTGATTCAACGTCACAAAAGTGCATTCACAAACGTGCATCAGGACCGTAAAGGAGAAACTTTGCAAAGTAACGCTGCGGACAGTCTTTCCTGCGTGGAGTCCCAACGCCCTCTAGTGGCCCTGCTGGTCACTCGTCCGAGTAGGGAGAAGTGTGGTTTTGGCCTTGGGAGCCTTCCTGGTGGTGAGAGCGGAGGTCCCGAGTGTGGGCCTGGGCCAGTGACACGTGGCAGATCCCAAGCAGGATTACCCAGGTGAAAACTAAGCAAAAGCACACTTTCTGGAGCCAGGCGGTTGGAGAACCCCTGAAACTATTGCCCTGAGATAATCCCTAAACCTTAAACCAAAAATATCCCCTAAAGTCTTCCTAAAACCAAAAAATAGTTTAGCTTAACTAGTAAAGATTGTCTGCCTTGAGCATTGTGCTCTTTTAAGATCCATCTATATGGGATCAAATTGACAACAGTAACTCGAAGGATTAGACAGGAGACTTAGGAGGCAGCGAGTTTATGTTAATGAGGGAGGAACTCTGCCGAAAAGGAGGGTGAGAAAGGTTGCAAAACTCAAAGAATGTAATCAGTGTCACAGAATTGTACATGTAGACACGGTTGAATTGTATGTTCTGTGTATATTCTCAATAACAGCAACAAAAATAAAATTAATTATATACGTGTATAAATATACAAATACATAGATCATTAAGAGTCGGAATCCACTCAAGACAGTGGTTTGGTTTGGGGTTTATATATATATATATACATAAAGTACAGCTAAAAAAGAGAAAATGACAAAACGGTGGCACCCTCTGTGAGGAATACTCACCAGGAGACCCCGAGTGCAGAGGAGTCAGAACCCACCGCGTGGACTTGCCTACGATTCCTCCCCACTGGCCCCAGCAGCCTGCTCCAGCTGACGCCCAGCGGTTGTAGTGGCCCCCAGTAGGCCAGGTCTGGGTTAATTGTCTAAAGGGATAACTTTATTCTTAGATAACAGTGGTTTAAAAAAAAAGATTCTGTCCTGTGATATATATATGGAAAATTGAATCTTAGAGGCGCTGATTTAGGAATACTGTGTTAATTTTCTATTAGAATGCTTGAGGTGACATCCTCCCTCGCTGTTGTTTGGCTGACTCATGGCAACCTCACATACAATGAAACACCAAGTTGCCCAGTCCTGCGCCACCTTCATGATCGTTGGTATACTCGAGTCCATTGTGTAGCCATTGTGTATTTTGAGTGCCTTCCAACCTAGGGGGCTCATCTTCCAGCACTATATCAGACAAAATTCTGTTATGATCCACAGGGTTTTCATTGGTTGATTTCTGAAAGTAGATCACCAGGCCTTTCTTCCTAGTCTGTCTTAGTCTGGAAGCTCCACTGAAACCTGTCCACCATGGGTGAACTTGCTGGCATTTCAAAACTGGTGGCATAGCTTCCAGCATCCTAGCAACAAACAAGCCACCACAATGTGGCAAACTGACAGACAGATGGTGACTTCATTCCCAGAACCCCAGGGCTAGAAGGGTCTGCAAAGGGCAATCCATGGTGCCTTCTTGCAACCCGACTGCAGCCTTTTACAAAGCTGAGGGTTAGACTGGTAAAGGATGAGACTGATAGCAAAGGTT